CTACTGGGAGTTCTTCATAATAAATTTATTTCCTGTATAAGAGAGGATCGCACCCAGTAATGTAACTGGAACAAGCATGTTAAATTTTTTTGGCACAGAGATGACTAGTGGCTGAAAGGGACAATCTGGGACAGAGAGTCTGCAAAGCTAGAAATAATCAAAACATTTGCTGGACGGCATGCCCCTGTTTTAGAAGATGAAAAAAGTAACTTAACAACATTGAGAATTTCCTGGAAAAGAGTTGATCAGACATAATGTGTTTAGCACATCTATGACTCTGTCTAGCATACAATAAATGATAGCTGCTTCTTTTTTTTTTTTTTTATTGTTATTCCTACCTCATAGACATAGGAACTGGCTCTTAGTCAACCATTGCAGCTAGAACTATTTTACTTTGGGAAAATGTTTTCTCCAGAATAGATATCAAAGCATCAGTCAATGAATACTTATTAATGACAATAGCTTTCACTCTTATATAGTACATTTTCTCCTAAATGGCCCCCAAACTTACCAACTATAATATCATCCCCCACCCTGTTGAAATTCAGTTACTTTTAACAATACAGCCACAAACCACATACAATTAAAAAACTGACAATAAAGCCCTGTACCCCCCCCCAGGCAAGCAAAGGAGTAAAATAAGGTTTGGTATATTAGAGTTGTCCTACAAAAAGATGAATTTCAATAAGCATAACCCCAAAATATCACAGCAATCCTTCAGCCTGAATTCCAGCAAGAATCTCATCATGCTGACCAACATTCTATTGAAAAACTGATTCTTCTCTTCCAGAATGTTCAGAGGACTAATTTAGGGCCATGCACTCCCATATGACTAAACGTCACCGAAACATGGAGTCTATGTTAGTATCCAAACAGACAGTCAGCCTGAATTCACACACAGGAATCATGAAATAGAAATAGATTGGTCCTGACAGTCAGTTTTCTCCACCTGTTTGGGAAGGAAAGTCAGTGTCACCTCAAGGAGGTAATTTAAAACCAAGTTTACTTACAAAATAGGTCTGGTTCAAGGTTGTCTTTTGACAGTCGTTAGACTTAGCCTCGATTTAGTGAATTTACTTTGAGAGAATGCACAGCTGTAAAGACAAGCTATGAAGACATCAAGCCCAACTTTCGACTGTCACAGTTCCAGAGGGGTAGCTGATTTGCATTCCCAGACAAAGAAGAGGCATGTTTCAGTGGAATGGGTGCATGTCCAACTTGGAAAAATCCAACCATCCCATTTAAATTTTTAAAATGTATGCCTTAAAAACATTCAGGATATTTAGAAAATCTACTGCATTACATCACAGTAAGTGCATCACCACATTATATTTTGCAAGCTTTAGCAAATAAAAAAATCCCCCAGAAGAATCTTAATTCTTATCTATGGAAAACATTAAACTGCTAAGTGCTAACAACTGGAATTAGTCCTTAAATCTCTAATGAGAATAATAAAACATGAGTGCAGTTTGTGCTGTAACTTGATAAGGCCTGAATTTACTTGCTGTTAGGAAAAGTCACTGATCCAGCAGTATATGGCTTTTTACTCCCTGAGGTACAGGAAACAATATCTGTCCTCTAGGAATGTCCTTTGCGGTAAGCACTTCTTATCTGTGCAATCAGAGGACAGAGATAGCAGGGTAATATCTAGTAACAGCAGCTTTATGAGATGATCCATTACTGATTTAAATCAATCTCAAGCAGGTAGTTGTCCTTAACCCATTCAGATCAGACTGCTCCCCACCAACAAGGACCCTCCAACTCTTTCCACCTATGCCTGGCTTCAAACTCACAGGCAAGACTTGAGCTGCAAGACACTCTTGTCCCCTAAACTGAGCACCTTTTGAAAATCTCATCACTCGGAAAGATTGTAGAATTGAGGCTCCTGCCCCAAATTGAAACCCAATGTGTACTGGGGTAATCAATACCAGGTTTGCTCCACAGATGCACAGAGCAGGAGCTTAAGGAGTCTATTAACAATTTGCTCAGACCCAACAACTTGCTGTGAGGGGTGGCAAGATGAAGCAACTCCCCCTTTCTACCCTTGGAGAATTTTGTTAAAGACACATTCGCTGGGAAGCAAGTTGTACTGTTTATAGGCACATACCAGCATAAATTCAAATGGAGGAATGTTTAAGAGCAAATGATTAAGTTAGCGTAGATATCCCATGTCAAATTAACAACACAAATGGGCATACGATACTTGTGTTTCTTATATAATAAATGAAAGTGTTCTTAGCTTAACCCTTGGATAAATAAATGCTAAAAATAGACTTCAGCTTATTCGTACACTCAAATTAACATATATATTTTTCCACACATGCACTCCTGCAAAAGAAAAGATTTTAGTGTGTGAATATTATCAATTTTATGTTATCAATGTATTTCCCTCATTTCACAGGAAGAAAATGGAGGTTTTGAGATATTCAGTAACTTTCCCAAGGTCACAACTGGCTATTGACAGAATTAAATCTCCCAACACACTTACCACTGCTTTTGTTAGTTCGCCTTACTGCTTTTAAAGAAAAGTCTGTGTAAATATAAAAAACTCCACATACATATGAAATTTTAGCACTTTCAGGATTTCAGAACTAATTCAAGCTATGAACAAAAACAGTGGTCATGTGTTAAATATTTAAGATGAGTTCTGTTGACTTTTGGTTGATGTTTTATTTCCATATCAATTAGATGTGAATACATTCACTTCTTCTCTCAGTATCAGAAGTGTAAAGTGTCAAAGTCAAATACATACAGAAAAAATAAAACCTGGTATCAGTTCCTGGCTCCCTCTCCCCCCATTCTCCCCCGCCCCCCCCCCGTATCCCCCACTTAATATTACCTTCCAATACTGAGATGAGTAGCCAAACTTCACTGTTATTCAACTGTTAGTTTTCAAACTCTTGTGAACTCAGTAAAGTTGGTGATGACACCCAAAATGGTCATTTTACTTTATTGCCATAGAAATGAATGAAAACTGGCAAGTTACAAGGCTTCTGCCAGTGACTTTGTATGACAGAGCAGCACTTTTTGATTTTTTGAGCATTTAAACATTTCATTAATGCCACTTTTGTTTTTTAAGTTGCTTAAAGTTTTCATCAATTAACTGGGCATCTGGCCTCCGGAGGCCCTGATAACTGGCCACTTTATTTTGTTGCTTAGAAATGCATTGATACTTGGACACCAGCAAGCTAAGAAGAAAAATGTTCTTTACCAACTCTTCTCCTAGAGACAGATTTCCTTCTCTAGCCTCTGCTGTGCATGTCTCTCTCAGCTTCCAAACTCTTTCGCCTGATCATGTGTAATTTGGGGGAGCAGGCTACCACCCAGAGAACCACCATTCTAGGCTTCCCTGAGACAGCCACGTGGGACTTCTGCTTGTCCCTTTCATGTAGAAACAGCACGCAGGGATTTTTATGATTCATTTTTCCCTTTTTGATAAGATGAAAAACATATCAAAAAAAAATCAGAGATACTTCCATTTCCTTGGAAATAAGATGAAGGACAAGAGTTTCTACTTAGAAACATGCTTTTTTTTCTCTGGCAGTCTGTGTCCATAAAGTGAGAGAATTATTTTTATTGCTCTTTTTGTTTGATATCTGTAAGCAAGATTCTTTGTATTTTTGCATATTTTTTTTACCTTTTCAAATTAAACTGCCTATCTTGAGAAACTGAGTTTAACATAACAACTAAGCAGAACAATGACAAATAATTTAGTATCGTAATCATTTGCTTATCAAATTAAGAAAACTCAAAAACTGCATCAGAAAACATACACTTTAATGTGCCCCCAAAGTAAAAGATATGAAGCTCATTAATTCCAGCAGTATATACTTTTAATATCGTGGATATTCTGTTAACATGAAACAAATGTTTTTTATGTAACGTAAATAATTATCTAAATATTGTGTCCAGAGACTGGACACAAATACCCTTCTTTGTGTCATTTGATCACATTTTCTAACAAATCTTCAGATGCCAAGGTTGTTCTTAAGGTTTAAGACATTGGCATTTTTAGATTTCTGTTTGCTATAAACAAATCACTTTGTCACTGATCACTTGAATGTGTTTTGATTAATCAAAGATTTTATACACTTAGATTCTTGCATATTTAAGCAGTCTGAGCGAAACATCACTTTAAAGGAATCTCAGATCAGTGACTCTAGTCTCACAGAAAACATATTAACTCAGTGGCCCAAAGCGATAGCTCTTCTTTCCTGTCTTGTCTTAGCAGTCCTTAGCTCTCTTATGCAAGAAGAGGAGCCCGCATTAACATAATTCGACAAAACTAACATCCAACTGCGTGATCTCTGTAAGCATTCTATATGTGCCTGTAAAATGCAAGCTGACAGCATTTTACTTGGTTTACCACCGACCTTGTTTATAAACAACCTATTGTCAAATCTCAGAGAAGTTTGCTAACTACCCTTTGTCAATTTTACAAAAAAAAATATCAGCTCGGTCAGGTGCCATTAGGACAATTCCAAGCAGAATTTTATAACACACCAACTCAATATTCCTCTGCATTGCCCATTACAATCTCAGAAACTCCGAAGGTCTCTGTAAAAGGAACACTTGGAAAATTTTAAACCGATCAAAATATGGCATCACAGTTTGGTTTTCCTCCTCGATTTAGTTATACTAGCAAAGATGAAAGGGTAGGAGTTTCCGAGCAGACAGGAGAGCTGCATACCACGTATCAACTGTAAATGAATTTACTTTTTGCTTGTTGTCTAGAATCGTCTTGGAATTTTGATTAAAGAATGTACTTCCTTCTTCGTTTTGCATCATTTCCCCCACCTTAAGCCAGTCTTACTCGGACGGTCACACAGAAAGGAAGATAAGTAATAACACAGAGCAGGCTCCAAGTAAAATCTAGCCCAGTACAGACAGCGTAATAATGATGTCATTAAGACTGCTAGCTGAATGGGATTCAGACTGAACTGTTGTATAGCTGCAGACATAAATCTGAAAGAACTTTTTGGCTACATTCTCAGACTTACCTTGAGAGATATTTAGGAGCTCCAGGAAAATGAGTTGAGAGAAATGCACTCAAAAGAAGGAGGCATGGAGGCATGCAGACTGCAGACAGAGGTGCAGGCCCTATAGGTTCCTTCTGAGATACAGGAGGAAACAGTTTGTTAAATGGATCAAGACAGAGAAACAATCTGAAGAAGAAGAAAACAGAAAACAAATAAACCTTAATTCTAGCCCAAATAAATGAGAGAAAGGCATTGGTGGGGCCGCTCAAAGCCTTTTTGCCTAGCTGAATGAAAGCAATCCCTAAGACTGAATGGGTAATGAGATCCTGGCTCCTGAGATTTTAGCTTTCTTAATCATGTTCATAATTAATTCAAGAACATTGATAATTTCATTACATTCTTTTTGTCTTATCAATAAATGATGTGCCTGCACTTTTGGTCCTGTGTACAGGGAGAGGAGAGATGCTTTGGGTAATATTGCACTAGGAAGAGTGGATATATATATGATCCAAAAAGGTGAAGTGGTAATTATTATCCTTGACCAGCCTTCTATTATCAGAGCACGATGACAAGCAGCTACAAATAATTAATAAGCTTTTTATGCAGAAATGCAAAGCCTTTGAAGAAAAATAGGCTGCGAGTGGAATTCCTTCCCGAAGATTATGTACATAGCACAGAACGCTTCCACAGAGAAACAGTTTGAAATGGAACTCGCTAAAATGCCTGCATCGCAGATAAAAGAAAATCAATAACTTGTTTTGAAAATATCATTTTAAAAAAACTTTTCTTCGTCTGAATGCTTTATTTTAAAAAAAGAAAACAAAAACAAAAACAACAGTTCTGTGTCCTTCAAGTTGTCTTCCTAACGACCTTCCAAGGATCAACCTGCAAAGATGTTAAACTGAGCTACCCACTCAGTAAAACCTCCCTTTCAAAAACCAGGACAGAAAGCTCTGTCATTCTCTGTCAGTCATCATCAAAGGGACCCTTTTCCTTTACAGTTTTCTATTCACCCCCATGTAAATTTTCACAAAGCCATCACTCATTAGTTTCACAATCCATGTTCAAGGGCTTGGGAGGGATGTTGAATGCCATTTAATAGCCTGAAACAGAAAAGCTGCCCAGTGTCCCCAACCGTTCCGATAATTAATACCAAATTAAAAAGTGGTCAGCTGTAAATATGAGAATTCTCCTAATTGGCAACAAGAATAACATTTCCGTTTTAAATACAAGTGTGTTGCAAATAATTCATGCCCAAGTGCACACAAGTGCTAGATGGACTAACATATTTTTTTAAGTAGACCAATATGGTGGGATAAAATTTCAGCAGTGAAAACCATCCCATAAAAATGTCTTTGAACTAATTATGCTATTAAAGATAAAACAATTCATATGATGCTAAGAAGTATTCATGTTGGCACTTCGATCTGATTACTAAATAAGAGAGTCTTCGAGAAGACACTGCACAATCACTTAGTAAAGCAAGCTGTTGCCTGTGACATTGATATATGGGACAGAGATGATGTATATACTGGGTGGCTTTATCAGTAAATCACTGACTCTATTTACTTCCCCAAGGAAAAAGACCTGTCCCTGAAAGAGAACTCTTTGTTAGAACCACCAGTAGGGGATTAATATTGGCAAAACATTCAATTTGGATATAGTCCTGCAGAAGATTCATAAAACAATAATTTAATAAGTTAACGGACAAAGATTTAGCACATTGGCAGCATACAATCGCCTGGAGAACATTAAGTTTCTTTATTAATTTCATCAAATTATTTCTCTCTGAACTCAATTATATAGGTGCTAGCCACCAGCAACCTATTTCTCAATGAAAAAAACTACGAAGTTAAGGTCTAACTCCCTACAAATAACTTTGTAATAACACGCAAAATATCAGCACCATATAGACCAATTGCCACTTAAAGGCGATTACCTGACAGTTAAATTTGACCTCAGATGTCGATTTCCACGTGTCCTATGGATTTATACACAATTCACATCTACTTTTAAAGTTCCAGATAGGAGGCAGACAGTGCAAATCAAATATGCCAATCAGTCAATAATCCAAGTTAATGCTGATCCACCTAAATTTCAGGGGCAAAAACTGGTTTTAGAAGTGCTCTGTGCTTTCATCAGAGCAGTAAAACTCAAAAGGAAAGAAAGATATGGACGATATGTAGCTAGCACTATGGTGTTTTGAATCCTATCACTTCTGCAAATTTACTGCTAACCTAGAGAGAAATATGAAGGCATTATTCTTAACTACTCTCTCAGACTCTTCTCCTATGTTCAACCATCAAGTTGAAGTGCTTTGACCTTCCAAATACTGTTGTCACCTCCACTTCTCTCCATTCCCAAAAGCATCACCTCCTTCAAATCAACAGCCCCAGGACCTGAGTTTTGTTATTTTAGTGACCTCTTGACTCATCCTCTCCTTGCTCCCATACTGCTACACAGTATTCTTCAAAATGCAGAACTGATCACGCCACTCCTCTACTGAAGCCTTCAGCGGCCATTTCCCTCCTGGATGGTTGTTTACCGCGCTATTTCATCGGCTTCCTCTTTCCCTTTCTGCCTCACCTTTTAACACTCTTGCCTCCCCCACCCCCAGATGAATGACACCTCCACGCCCCAACCCCTAGTGTTCTTATCACTCAAGCTTTGATGCCTGCAAGACCCTTGCCATGTTCTGTGGTCAAGGGGCAAATACTTTTCCCATCAGTTTTTATAACACATTAGAAGATTTTTTTTCTACTGGTCTTTGCAATTTCTCCACGTCCTCACTGAAATCAAGTCTGCATCAGTGGATCTGGTGGTTCTACCTGAGCTGACTCTAGCTGCAGTCTCTGGGTGCCTTAGAGGCTGCCCGCCTTGCGCATCAGCTCATGTTCCTCTGATCTTTGTCTACAGTCGCTGCTGTTTGCATTCCCACAGAAATAAAGCGTCAGGTAGACACTGAAACCCTCGATTAAGCAGGTTCTTATTCCTTTTGGCTACTGGAGTGGTATGTTTGGTCTTTGCTTCAGTCTGTTTGACGTCTGTGTTTGATTCTGTAGAGGAAGGCGAAGGTTGCTAGAACCGAGGAGACCAGGTAAAATGGCTTGGCTACATCTCCTATAAACTCGTCAAATTTTAGTACATTTGGACTGCCTTTCTCCCTTGCTTTCTCTGAAAACTAAACATATATATTTAATATGGGGAAATAGGAAATAGGAGTACCGTGCTTTTTATATTTAGACCTGTAACCTCAATTATGTGGAAGCTGTGATTAATTAAAGATAAAGACATAAAAGGGTGTATGTAACACCGTGGGTGCTCAATAACTTAAAAAAAATAAAGCAAATTGAGTCAATAAAATTCAGTTTCTAAGACATCACTTTGCATTTCAATTTGCCTGCTTTGTCAGAAAAATTCAAATTGGGTCAATTTGGTTAAGGTATGGAAGTATCGGATATCTTTTGCGAATGTTTTCAACAAGGAGTTCTTTTGTTTGTTTGTTTTTTTTAACTTTTGGCAATTAAAATGTAATTGCAATTCCCTGGTCAGCAAAAGGGGTAGTTATCGGTCCGAAGAGAGAAGCCGCCAGGGGGCGCTAGAGGCTTGGAGCCGCCTAGTCGGCCTGTGTGAGCTGCTGAGCCTGCCAAGAGCAAGTCAGTGCCCTTCCCTCTAGCATCCAAGGCTAAGACTTACTACTGAAAGTTATCTCAAAGTTTAAATTTTATCTTACCAGGGCATTAACTGGGTCATTGACACAGACTTTAATTTAAAGCTTTATTTAGAACATGATAAGTAGACACAATGAGAAAAAAGCATTTTAGCTCCTTTTTCCTCCTCCCCTTTTCTGTATCAGAAAGTTGCTTTCTGGTTTTATATTTGAATTTGAGTTTATCTCCAGTTTCTAGCTGTAGATACAAAGTCCCGAATAAGAGTAAAACAAAGTTCTGCAATACAAACAACAATTAAAAGAGATTTTTTTCCATAACAATGTTCCTTCTATGAAAGGTTAATACCCAGACTAAGAAGTTTCGAATCTTTCAGAATTTTAACAGGTTAGTAACTAAATAGACCCTACATAGGTTAGCAAATATTCTACAGGAATAAATTCTTTTCAGAAGTATATTGAAATGGTTTACTTTCATCATTTTGCTTTTGATGGACATTTTCAGAAGCTGGTTCTTTGCTCTAAACTGTCGTCTGACAGTTTACAGAATATCTCGTGTTGTGTGATGCTGTGAAGTCAGATTTGTGATAGCTCTGCATGACTGAACTATAAAACCATGGCCTCCAAGACATGTCTAGCTAACCAATTCCAACCAACTCCGCGTTGTAGACAAAGTGAAGCTGAGGGAAGATGAGTGGCCCTGAGTCACATGGCTTGTGGAGAATGAAGACAGGATTTCCACTCTTTATTCCATGGTCTGACGTGTAATGTGAGCAAAGCAAGTGGCACGGGTCAATTGAAATAACGGGTTATGGAAGGCCAAACATTACCTTTGACCTACTGGCTCAGTGGTGTTCCCTTTCTAGTTGATCTTCTTAGTTTAGAAACAAGATTTTTTCCAACGATTTATTAATTTATGCATAAAAGAACTGGGATTCAGGCCAGAGCTGCAGGGGTGGGAGGTGAGAATATTCACCAGAGACAGACTGGGGAGCAGAACAGCAGATCTACTGAAACCCAGTGTTGAGGGGAGCAGCGGGCCAGCAGGAGAGGTCTGCTGCACCATGTGGGTCAGCTTCCTGGCCAGGGATCGAACTCATGCTCTAGTGTCTGTAGGTAGCTTGATAGTGCTGAGACTTAACCCTTAAGCCATTAGGGAGACTCTGGAAACAAGAAATTTTAGGGTCCCGATAGTAGAGGATTTCTGTCCCAGAATCCCAGAATTCCAGGAGACAGTTGTAAAGAGATGCAACATACCTTGATTGGAGTGGGCAGGAGGTGTCGGAGTCACTTCTCAGAGAGAATGGAGCACATTTAAAACACTGGAGCCTCACAGTTGGGCTGTGCCTGCACTACCACAGAGGTGAGTGCAACTCCAGCGTAACCAGGTGGCCCCAAGTGGCAGTCTCCTACCCAGGTGCGAGAAGAGAGGTGACGGGATTCTGGGGTGCCCAGGGCACACCTGGAATTATGCAACTTTTCTGGTTGTCATAACAGGAGGAAAGTGTTTCATACCTCTAGTGGAGAGAGGCAAGAGATGTTGCTCACCTGCACAACAATGACTTATCCAGCCTCATGCATCAGTGAGTTCGAAGCTGAGGAATCCAGTTCATGATAAGCCTTTCTGCCACTTTTCATCT